GCCTTTGGATACCTTCTGCTTGGGACCCCGTGTGATAAGGTCCTTAAACAACCACATTGCCTCTCATAATATTAGGGCAACTTTAGGTAATTTCAATAAGTGACAAAGTAACTAGAAAGCTTTTATAATCTAAGCATTCAAATGGAGAATAAATTTTAAGTGACGATTAATATCACTAGCCAGATTATTTAATTCAAATTAGGTCTGAACTAGATAACATAATGGTGTAATAACTAGTAACTGAAAGGGGCAAAGTGTGGGGGTTCCCCCCCCCCCAAAAAATCCTCAAAATTTATACATTAAAACGAAAAGTACCAATTTTGCAGACTCAAAATCCAGCAGAGGGCACAATTGTAATTTTTCTGTGTGCTCCACACAAAATGAAAACAGTCTTAAATGTCAGTGCTTTAATGTCTTCAGTCACCCAAGGATGATGTCAATGAAAAAAGGTAAAATTAATTTTTGGGATTTGAAACAAAACTGTTGCTTATTTAAAAGAGAATTCTGAGATGGGCCGCTTCTTTTATCAGGACCAAGAACATGTCATAAAAAGAGCAGTGCATATGTAACCCCTTTTGTTCTTACACAAAATCTGTTATGATTCATTAAGCTGAACTGCTCTTCAGTATCTTTTGAGGCTTCTCTTTCTTATTCCTTGAACTGGCTCTTGCATCCCTTGTTGGTTGGTTGGTTGGTTGGTTGGTTGGTTGGCTGGTTGTTGTGTTGTTGTTGTTTTTGTCTTGAACAAGAATCTGTAAGCATTTGTTGTTCATTTCTTGTTAAAGCAACACAAGTCTTCATGTTTATTCATAACGTGGTTCCATTCCTGACTTTTAAAAAGTAGCAGATTGAACAAGAGAGAAGGTGGTGATTCAACGCTTCACTCCTTCTTGATGACATTTATTGGAAACAATTTTCTATTCCATTGCGGCATCACACTGCGCTCCTTCTTCATGTCAGCCTTCTCAGCTTGGCACCACCAGGCAGCAAAAGGCAGTGGGCCATTTCTGATGCTCTGCATCAAAAGCAAACAAATGCTTCTTAAAAAGAGAGAAAAGGATCACATGCATTTAGCTGACTTCTTTTTATGTGCACAATTTATTAGGCACCTTTCTGCCTGGAACACACTCCAGAGGGGAAAATGATAATAATAAACTCAGCAATCCCTACATAAACAATACTTGCAAGGAAGTCCCAACAAACTAACCAAAGAAAACAACAACAAAACAAGAGGAAGCAAACTAACAACAACAACAACAACTTCATAGCTATTTCAAATAATGCAACATCGTTTGGCTGTTCATTTTATGTTGCCAATAATGCAACAATTACCAAAAAGACTAAGTCAAATATAATCAGTACAAGAGCCAGCAAGGTGTAGTGGTTTGAGCGTTAGACTATGATTCTGGAGACCAGAGTTTGATTCTCTGCATAGTCATGGAAATCCACTGGATGTTCTTGTGCAAGTCACACACTCTCAGCCCAAAACCAAAAAAAAAAAAAAAAACGTGATAGGTTCACTGTAGATTCACTATAAGTCATAAAAGACTTGAAGGCACACAATAATAGCAATAATCAGTATATTCATTGCTGGGGGAGGGAGTAGAAAAGGTAAATGAAAAAGAGCTAGTATCCAAAAATGTATTTAGGGAGACAGTCATGTCAGTCAGTTTTAGCACTCCAAGTTATAAAGGAATCCATGAGCACTAGCAAACAAATGGATCCTTGAAAAGAAGCCAGAATTACTAAATAGAGGCTGTTGTAATTCAGCCGCATTATGAGAAAAGATGGCTCAGTAGAAAAGACAATAATGCTAGGAGGGCAGTAGAAAGAAAAGAAGACCACATACAAAATGGGTAGATTCAGTTGGGAAGGTCACAGGCATGAATCTGCAAGATCTGAGCAGATAGGGTGACCGAACATCCTCCTTTTCCAGGACATGTCCTACATCACAACCTTCTGCCCAGGAGGAATTTCAAAACGTCCTCCATTCTGAGCATGATGAACAAGCATGAATTTACATTTATATGAGCGATTTTCGCTTTTATTTGCTCATCTCTTACATTTTTCTTGGATGGCCTCCATTTTGCGGTGGCTTGTCCTCCTTTATGGTGAGGACATCTGGAGTGGAGAATAGAGCTTGGAGACATCTCCTCACTGAGTCCAAGAAAGCTTGTGCTACAATCGTTTTCTTCCCAGTGGCTCCTTTATAATTTTTCTTTAAAAATTGTTTTTAAAAATGTGCATCTTCCCTGCAGTGCAAAAAGGTGGTCTGATTGTGGTCTGGGAGGAAAAAAACAATCTGATTTTTGAGGAACCAAGTTTATTTATTTTTTTGCCCAGAGGCATCTCAGGTTCGTCGCATACAATTTAAGCTCGTTCTTTCCCTTTCCTCACCTGGAAAGAACCTGTTTGCCTCAAGCCAGTAACAACTGCTTTGTAGAAGCAGCTGGTAAGGAATGTAATGCTTTTGCAAAAAGCAACCTGCCTCAAGCCAGCAATGACTGTTTACTTTTGAGAAACTTTGCTGCCATAACAAAGGAGAGGGAACAGCTGCGGTATCTGTTCCGAAACAGACGGCTTGAGCTTGCCTGCTGCTGCTACTAGTATATGCTTAAAAATACACAAACACACACACACACACAAGCTGATGCCTACTCCTTCATTGCAAATGATGCAGAAAACATACAGAAAAATGGAACGGCCGTAATATCTCCAGATAAAACATTCCGCTGGCATCTCATTCAATAGTTACAGGATCATAAGCCTTACAATCTTGTAACTTTGGGGATTCATGCTTATGGTTGTTAATGAATGAACATGACCATAAAAACCTACCTCTCAAGCCAGGCAGTGACCCAACTGAAAGGTTATTTTATTTTACCATCCTCTTTATATACAGTCAGCCCTCCCCATTTGTGGCTTTGACTTTTGAGGATCTGATTATTCACAGATACGATTAAGATCTTCTCTCTAGGAATCTCTAGGTCCTCCAGTGTGACTCTGCCAGAAGTTTATCACAGAGTCAAGGAGCCCTGGTGGCTCAGTGGTAAAATGCCAGTCCTGAAGCCACAAATTTGTAAGTTCGATCCCAGGCAGGGCTCCAAGGTTGACTCAGCCTTCCATCCTTTCATAGGTCAGTAAAATGAATACCCAGCTTGTTGGGGGCCATTGGTTTACAGATTGTAAACTGCTTAGAGGGAGCACTATGAAGCAGCATAGAAATGTAAATGCTATTGCTATAGAGTCACAAAGTAAAAGTTGTGCTGGAGGACCTACAGATTCTAAGAGAGAAGTTCACTCAGGTTAAAAAAAAGAATAGTGATTTTTAAGTTTGCATTTTTCCACTTTCATGGGGAAGGGGGTAGATCCTGTGTCCTTAACCCAAGCAAATGTGGAAGTCTCACTGTATATTTATCCAGAACAATTTCTTATTATTTCAAAATCAACACCCGATTTTTTCTCAACTGCTAGACGTTCCACATTCCTTTCTTCCCCAAAACCTGGGTTCATTGAGTGCTGGATTTCTGCACCAAAGAAAGTATAACTTTTTCATCGGGCACCCCCTGTCATCTATACATGTATGTGGTACCATCGTCTTTTCTCATTTTAGCAATGCCTGATGATATTACCCTCAATTCTCTTCAGCAGCACTTCCTCTCTTCCTTATCTCTTGTACCCATCTTTTTAGATCTCTTCCCATTTCTTCTTCTTCTATAATCCCCTTTTCATCTCCGTGGCCTCTGACTATATCTGCCTGCTGCTCACTATAGTAGTCCCGGATCTCTCATCTTTTTCTTTTCTATTCCACTGCAGGGAAAGATAGGGTCAGAAGAAGTGCCAACTAGACCAGTATTTCATTGTTGACGCCTTCAGAAAACAAACAACATATTCTTCAAATGTTTATGCACAGAGCAGAAAGATCATTCAGATAACACGCAACACCGAGAGAACTTATTGACTCAATGGTGAATTGCTTGCTTTTTTTGCATTCAAGTCAGAGGATATTAAAATGAGGTAAGACGAAGAGATGCATATCATCGGCCAAAGGCTATGCTTCTTTAGTTGAGGTATTCAATGAATGAGGGAAGCTTAATACATTTCCTGCTGATTCAGATGGAAAGATGCATCAATCCATGTTCCCCTAGTGGACCAGTGGTCTACAGACCACAGGAATCCACCTCTTAGTTCAGCCAAAATGAAGGACACATGGACAAAAAGTTCAGCAACTGGTTTGGGGGAAACAGATAATTGGTTATGTCCGTTTTAATGTCTGGCCACCCAGTGATAGGCAATGACTTCTTGTTTTTAATGAATGAGTCTACCAAAAATGTATTTTACTCCAGAGGTCTCTGCTGCTTCAGAACTAATGAGAACAGGGAAATGCTCATTTGGAACATCTCTCATTTTCTCAGTGAGGTGATGGGGGAAATGATGAGAAAGAAGGTAACCTCTTTCACTGACAACTTTTTATGCCCCCCTTCCCTCCCGACAAAAAAGAAAGTTGAAAGAGCTACTAGCAAGCAACTCTTCCTAATTTGCTAGTTCCAATAAAGATCCAATAAAGAAATGGATCCATCGCACACAGGTCAGAGGAAGAAGTGGGTGTCTTTTCCAAAAGTTTTGTAAATGCAATAGCTCTGAAGGTCCACAACCAACTTTCAGCAGACCCATTTGCTTATTTAAGTCCCTCATTTAAGAACATTCCCATATGACTTTGCAATTTAAAATTTTCACAGAAGTTTGCGAAAAAGAAACAATAAAAAGCAGTAGCTACAACGGTATAATAGTAAAGGCAGTGAAGACAGTAAAGTCTATTTTTAAAAAATCATTACAAACCATGGGTAAATAAAAATGTTAGGAGGCTGCCAAGTTATCAGGAAAATGTTCAGGCAAAACAAACAAACAAACAAACAAAACCCCTATATTTGGAGCTCAACTAAATCCAATGGTATGTGTGTGTGTGTGTGTGTGTATGCATGCATGCATGGTTGGTGTCACAATCAAACAAGCCCAATTCTGTATCTTTGCAGCTGCAACTAGTATTACCAACAGAAAGAGGTGAAGGCCATTGCAGCCCAAGAACATCTGGGGAGTGATGGATTTGTCATCCCTGAATTTTAGGGGAAAGAATCCACTACATACATGTTCTCTTGGTCACTCTTTCATTCTTGCTTGCTTTGCTGTCATGTCAGAGAGTTCTCTCCTCATCCTTCCACCATAAAAGAGCACCCCTTCTTGAGGTTAAATCCACTGCTTTTTAGTTACACCTCTCTCTTGGGTTCTTGGGTTTCACAGTAGATGCTCTCCAGAGCCCGGTTTCTATTAGGGGGAAATGATTTCAGTGAGTTATAGGGGTGTTTTGGCCAATCTGGGTTCATCTCGCCATATATTTCACATGGTTTGCAAAGGGGAAGCCATGGAATAGCATACATTAAACTAAGTAATTTTCAATCAAATTCATGTTGCAGTGTTTCTAAGGTAATCAGATTCATGACCTGCCATGAGGAGCAATTTCTTCCAGTAACTTATCTGGACTACAGATACTAGCATAAACATTCCAGAGGGAACTCTAAATTTTGAACTGAAGTTGAGCTGATCTGACTTTCATCTTATGCCAGAAGCTGCCATGTGAATTATGGTAACATTTTTTCCCCTTTTCACCTTGAAGCAAACAAGCTTCAGAGAAATTCAGTGGGCACTTAAAGGCTTCTGTGAATATATTCATATTCAGAAATAAAACTCATGCTAGACACAGCTAAAAATTATTTGCCTTCATATACTCATAATTTCTGATTAATTATCGCAAACTCTATTAATTATTATTGTTCTGTTAGCTGCCTTACTACCATGTTCCTTGATAATTCACATTTTAATAGGACATTTTTGGTTTTATTCATGATCAGCCTTGATGGAAACTAAACGCTTCAGGGTGAAATCTTCGCCTCCGCTGTATAATAAATGAAAACACATAAAAATTACTGAGAATTTAAATAAGGCCTTGAAGTAAGATTAATTTGGGGAGCAAAATGAAGGATGCATGCAAACACACACACACATAAGTATGCATATGAAAGTATATACATATATTGTCACAATAGTTGATTATTAGTGATCTCCTTGTAGTCTAAGCAATTAAATCCTTTCCTTGTTGTTGGTTTAATGGATTCTCTTTCAACACTCCACCTTGTTGCCAAAATAATTGAACTGGATCTCTTCAGAATGCTTCTAGTGAGCCAAATAAAAAAGGAAAGGGGAAAAAATATTTACTTTGATGAAAGACAGTGAAGCTAACAAGCAAAGAAAGCAGCATGGGTCACAGAAAGGAACTGATGAATTTATTATTGTTGGTTTATGGATTTATCAGTCTCATTGTCTCCAAGAAAGTACTCAAAGTGGTATGAAAACATGACAGACACAGTGCAGAGTGGGATGTGT